AAAAATAAATAAAATAAACAAAATGTATAATGGTTAAAAAAAGTAGTAAGTAATGCTATGTCAAACATCATCATTTGGGGAAAAAAAAAAAAAGATCATCATTGGGCTGGGAAGGTGGCTCAGTGGTAGAGCACTTGCCTTGCATGCACGAGGCCCTGGGTTTGATTCCTCAGCACCACATAAGCAGAAAAAAACACCGTGACTCAAGTGGTAGAGCACTAGCCTTGAGCTGAAGAGCTGAGGGACAGTGCCAGGCCCAGAGTTGAGGCCCCACAGCCAATCAAAAAACAACAACAAAATAATCATCATTATCATTATCGATAAAAGCTTACTAATTCAGGTAAATGCAGAATATGTTCAATCAAGGCATAGAAAACTGATCAAACAGAAAATTCACAGCAGTTCATCTTATCTGATACAGATTCTTTTATGTCAAAATGAAGGGAAGAAATCATAGTAAGTGCAGTACAACAATGACAGCTGAAATCTGCCTAAAAAAAGGAAATTTTCTCTGATAATTCTATAAATGACTTTTATAGTCCCATATATTTCACATTTCTTCATACTAGAAGTGTAATATATTGTACCTGTGTTAATGCTCCATAGGACAAGTTGCTAAATTATCACCTTTCAAAAAGGATGGTAAGTAATCACAGGTTTACCTATCATCTTTCAAGGTATTATTCTTTAGTGATGGAAATCATTGGCAACACCCTGTAATTCAGTAGCTAATGAAATTCCTTCTGGGTCCATTAGATGTACTGCTAAAGAACATCCTGTATCACTGGGTACCAGTGGCTCACACCTGTAATCCTACTCCGGAGGCTGAGATCTGAGGATATTGGATCAAAGCCAGCCCTGGCAGGAAAATCCTTATCTCCAATAAACTACCAGACAACCAGAAATGGCACTGTGGCTCAAGAGGTAAGTGCTAGCCTTGAGCTGAACAGCTCAGGGACATCATCCAGGACCAGAGTTCAAGCCCCAGGACCAAGAAAAAGAGCATCCTGCATGTTTTAATGTAAATATATATGTATAATTTATATCTAAAACAATAGGAAAATGAAAGAATAATAAAACTACATAAATAATAAACATAATAGTATTGTAAACATAAAAATAAAATTATAAAATTATAAACATGCTGGGCACCGGTGGATCACGCCTGTAATCCTAGCTACTCAGGAGGCTGAAATCTGAGGATCTCGGTTCAAAGCCAGCCTGGGCAGGAAAGTCCTTGAGACTCTTATCTCCAATAAATCACTAGAAAACCGGAAGTGGCTCTGTGGCTCAAGTGGTAGAGCGCTAGCCTTGAGCTAAAGAGCACAGGGACAGCGCCCAAGCCCAGCGTTCAAGCCCCACGACCGACCAAAATATATATATATATATATAAACATAAACATATAAGAGGAAAGAGTAGGGCTGGGAAGGTGGCTCAGTGGTAAAGCGCTTGCCTTGCATGTTTGAGGCCCTGGGTTCGATTCCTCAGCACCACATAGGCAGAAAAAGAAAAAAAGAAGAACATTCAAGATTGTTTAATCCTATCAACTATACAACTATGAAACAGAAAATTAC